TTCATAATTGTGAGATAAAAAGTCACAATTACCTTTTTTATTTTTTATTCAGTGGTGGAAACGGGCTTCCATAGAAACAGGCTTACATAATAACAGCCTAAATTATGGAACATAAAAGAAGATATATTTTGAGAAACCTTAACAACAAAAAACATATTTTTTGTTCATACAGTGAAAGTCTAATAACCAAAAGAATAATCTTCAAAATATCTTCTTTTATGTCCCACGAAAGAAAGTCAATAAGATTTTTTTAAAGGAAATTATACTCTAAATAAGAAATTAAAACTGCCAGCAGGTAGCACTAATGTCTTCATGAGTAAGTCAATGAGTCATTCATTCATTCGATTCGTTCAAACGGCTGATCCATTCAGGAATAAAGTAAATAGGCGTGTTCCGCTGTGTCCGAAATCACATACTTCTCGAGTAGTATGTCCAAATTCATAGTATTCGAAAAACAGCAGGCGAAAAGTGCTCGGATGACCTACTTCTTCCGCCTGGATTCTGAAGTGCGCATTTGATGGACACTTTAGCTGTGTCTCATTTAGAAGGCTGCGCCCTCCGGAGGTCACATTCAAAGGCTGCATATGTCAACGAGGCTGTTATAAAGTCAGAATTGCGAGATATAAACTTGCAATTCTGAGAACATTTCAGTCTTTTTTCCCCCTCAGAACTGGATTTTATAACTCGCAACTGTGAGTTTATATCTCACAATTCTGACTTCATAACTTGCAATTGCGAGTTTATATCATGCAATTATGAGAAGAAAAGGCAGAATTGTGAGAAAAATTTTCATGTATGTCCAAATTAATAGTATTCAAAAAAACAGTAAGCGAAAAGTACCCGGATGACCTACTTCTTCCGCCTGGATTCTGAAGTGCGCATTTGATGGACACTTTAGCTGTGTCTCATTTAGAAGGCTGCGCCCTCCGGAGGTCACATTCAAAGGCTGCATATGTCAACGAGGCTGTCTCATTTCAGAAAAGAAAGTAGGACACTCCGATTACCTTTTTTATTTTTTATTCAGTGGTGGAAACGGGCTTCCATAGAAACAGGCTTACATAATAACAGCCTAAATTATGGAACATAAAAGAAGATATTTTGAGAAACATCTTAACAACAAAAAACATTTTTTGTTCATACAGTGAAAGTCTAATAACCAAAAGAATAATCTTCAAAATATCTTCTTTTATGTCCCACGAAAGAAAGTCAATAAGATTTTTTTAAAGGAAATTATACTCTAAATAAGAAATTAAAACTGCCAGCAGGTAGCACTAATGTCTTCATGAGTAAGTCAATGAGTCATTCATTCATTCGATTCGTTCAAACGGCTGATCCATTCAGGAATAAAGTAAATAGGCGTGTTCCGCTGTGTCCGAAATCACATACTTCTCGAGTAGTATGTCCAAATTCATAGTATTCGAAAAACAGCAGGCGAAAAGTGCTCGGATGACCTACTTCTTCCGCCTGGATTCTGAAGTGCGCATTTGATGGACACTTTAGCTGTGTCTCATTTAGAAGGCTGCGCCCTCCGGAGGTCACATTCAAAGGCTGCATATGTCAACGAGGCTGTCTCATTTCAGAAAAGAAAGTAGGACACTCCGAATGCAACCTTCTTTCACAGGAATTCGGAGGATGCATGAGGTGTATCCTTCGCTGCTACAGATAACCCACAATTCTTTGCGTCGCCGTAAACAACCGGCGTTTATTCGAAAAAAAAAAAAAAATGGTGGCGCTGGCAGATGTAACGTTACACACAAGCGAAGATGTGGTGTTTAAATATAAGTATTTTCAAGTTCTTCTTTTTTAAGTTGCATTACCTCAGTTGGTAGATGTGGTAAACAGGATTACAAGTGTTTAGTGATTTTTAAATGTTGAGAACAGTTCTTTGCTAGCAAGGCGAGAAATGATCAATTTGTTTAATCCTCTGGTATTGTACATTTAACTAGCGTGAGAGCGCAGCGACGCTATAAATGTGTTGGCATAGCTTCGTAGGCCCATCCTACGAAGGCCGTGACACTTCAAAATGAGACACAGCATTCATACTACCCATATTCATACTAACGTACTTTTTTAATGGCCGTAAAGTAAATTAAAATGTAGTAACTACTCAGACAGTACTTGATTTTGGACGCACCGAAAGTGTTCGACTTCACGTCTCCACTTTCAATTCTTCCCCCGACTGCAAGCAGAAACTCTCGCCGATCGGTCTGTGCAGCGCCGCATGAAGTCGAACACTCCTAATGGCTCTCTTTATGAATGGGCCATTAAATCCTTGATTCACCCGATTTGTTCAAAAGGCAGATTCTTTCGGAAATGAAAAACCAATTCTGCTGAAATGAAAAACAGTTCTGCAGTAGCTTTATAGGTAATATTTCTGTTGGTGAAATTGAGCAAAAACAGACAATATTATTTTATAACAATATTGTTTAAAATATAACAAAATATTAACTTTTTATTTACTGAACAGTTGTATAAAATCACATTTAGAATCCTGCTATTCGGGACAAAAACAGCACTCATGTGATATTGCTCTCACTGTGTGATATCACTTATCATATGATATAAATATGGTACAAAAACTCATACAGGGCTTTTTTGCCACAATAGCTTGATTTTTCAGATTTCGAGGCATTTCGGATACATGTTAATGTTTATAAATGGAGTGTATTGAAGTGCAAAATGTAAAGTATATCTGAAGCTGAGTGAACGATTTGAATCCGCAGAAAAAATCTCTCACTCTTCTCCACTCATTCACACTACTCCATACCAGATCAGTCTGCAAGTTTCTTCGTGACAAGCAGTACTCATTGCAGTAGCTTCTTTTGGAACCCTTTTACCTGATGGAGAAGATATATACAAAATAACCAGCATTTTTTTTTTTTTGTCTGAAACATCAGTTATTGTTTGCTGAAATGTTGTATAAAGCAACATTGGTCTCCCAATTGTGCTGTTGTACTGAATGTCAGCACTGCTACAGTAGAGTGCAGACTGGCACTCAAGTAATAGCCTACTGTTCAGTTCTGAAAGTAGTATTTTCCAATTAATAAACTGGTAATTTATACAGTGCTCTATAAAAAAAAAATACGAGCACTTGACTAATTAAATGCCTCGTGATCCCTCTTGGCACCACAACTGTTCTCATAAACATCTCGCGAGCTGCTTCAAAGGATCTCCACATCAAACAAACTGTCGACCTACATATGAACAGCCATATGAACGGCTCCGGCAATAAGACTGAAGCGATGTTCAAATTCTCATTAAAACACAACTATAACACATCGACAGCAAGAACACTATAAGCCATTTCACGTAAAAACGAAACACCTTTTATAAATAGCAGAATGTTAAAGTGTAAATAAAGTAACTTTTTCGTATTCAATCACTGATAATAGTATTAAAAGTAAGAATAGTAGAAAATGTTACATTAAAGTTTACTTTTTGCCTCCCCGTTTAGTGCTGATGATTGATGAAATATTCTTCACAATGACGAAACCGAGTGAGCGTCTATCGAGCGTCGGGTATCAAAACGCGTTCCGAATCAACTGCACGCGCCTGTTACGCTCAAAAATGCCGTCTAGGTCGGTTTGTAAACAAACAAACAAACCGGAGACTGACAGCTGCTTGTGCTTGAGAATAAAACAAACCTTACCTCGGTTATCTTCATCCATGTTTATTCTGTGAAGGGACTTGATGTAAATAACGTTCTAGTCTTAGATTACTACCCTAATAATATAACACTGGTCTGTGAAACACAAAATTAAATCATATTAGGATATACTGAGCTCATCGTAACCCAGTTCAGGGGCTGCTCTAAATGTCATTCGCATATTCCATAAATTGCTGCATAGATGAACATAAATCCTGGTGAAATAAATAAATATGCAGACCACTCTCCGCCAGCTCCCATTCGCCTTCATCCACAGAGAGAGTGAGAAGTAACAGCTTAATTTAGCCAACAAAATAGAGGCTCCGCCCATCACCATAATCTATGAATATATGACTGTTATTAAGTGATTGCATCCTGGTCTTTACCTAGTCTAATTAATTCATGTGTAAATGTCTCCAAGGTAAGTCGGAAATATAAAATTAAAATATTAAAATAAAAATCCGACAGAATGCATTGTAATTTCCTATTTCTAATGTATTGGTGTTAGGTGTGAAAAGCATGAGAAGAGAAAGAGAAAAGCATGATTAATTACTTTGTAATTATATTATATGATTAATATTATATAATTTGATCAATAATACACAATTATAATAATTTATCATTCACAAAACATGTATTTATTAATGTTTTTGCCACATGTTTTTAACCACAGTCTTCACTGATGTAAATATTTCTTATAAGATCTAATGCATATAAGAGACCTGGAAACACACCTAATGAGGTAATATGCAATATCCTGAGCTTCATATGCAAGAGTGATATCAGCATTAAGGTGGAGAATCCCAGGTTCCTAATAACTGTGCAGTGTACAGGAACTTGCCTGTTTTCCGGACACCACATGTCAGCCAGTATTAGTCAGACTATTTTCCAGGTAAGCTGAGGTCATTATCCCTCCAAACTTTCTTACCTTTTGTGTCATAAATTCCATCTTGAGTGCAATGTGTTTTGCGGCTTTCCAAAGAATCATGCATAATCCATTCAACAACTCAAGAAAGTCATTGTCACTATCTCTGATGTTTCACTTCTTTTGCATGGATTTAAATGCCCCATTATTTGTACTTCACAGCAAACAGGTTTTGTATTTTGCTGATGGTATCATTCAGTCAAAGGACCTTAGACTCACTCAGTCCTATGAAAATGAGAGAGTTTTGTCTCTGTCTCTTAAACTGACATTTAAAATATTTAAATGATCCCATCTGAGGATGTTATGTAAGGTATAACTGGATATGAGGAAATCAAAAGAGCAGAATGTAATGTTCTGTGACCGCAGCACACAGCCAGGCCCTGTGCGTATGAAGTAGGTACAGGGAAAACAGGGGCTTCAGGGTGGGAATGACATCCTGTGTGGGAAACAGATATCCGCTGAAGCTCAGGAAGAGAATACTGTTTGCATTTTCCCTTTTTTTTCGAGGGCAAGAAAAACTCTCCCATGAACTTCACTTGTACCACCCAGTTCACTCTTACAAAGATTCACATTCATTTGATTCATTAATACAGCTCCGATGCCAAATTGACTAATTAACCCTAAAAATGTGGAAGATGATCAGCAAAAAATCATTTCATGTCACTTTTTATATCATCTGGACTTAAGTAAAACATATTCAAAAGACTTTTTGTAATACTTGATATATTTTGGATTTTATGAGTTGTATCTCCCAGGATACGTTGCCCCATTAGGTTATAAAAAACAGCCTAATTCATCAATAATTCTATGATTTATTTGATGCAAACAAATATTTAATATTCAAAATATGCTGCATGTATGACATGTCTTAAGTGTCCTAAATTTGAGGCACAGACATTTCTTGTATTTTTACATTTCTGAACTGTTTCGTCTTCATTCTCAGGGGTGGGCAATTCCATCCCTTGAGGCCCACTGTCCTGCACGGTTTAGCTCCATCACTAAACAATCATATAATGTAATTTATGTAACAACATATAATTTTTATGTAATCCCGAAGACTTTTGTTAGATTTTTCAGATGTGTTTGATCAGGGTTGGAGCTAAACACTGCAGAATGGTAGCCCTCCAGGAGCAGGGCTGGACACCCCTGTTCTACCATAAAATGAGCTGTGTGAAACCCTGCAAGAACCTAAATCTAGTTAAAAATGTAAAGATGAAGTCAACTAAATGTAATATTATCAGTTTTACATGCAAATATTAACATTTGCACAATTTTTAAACTCAAAATAAATAGAAAAGGGACTGTGTACAGGGGGTCCAAAGGCCAGGAGGGCCTATAAGGCTCTTCGCTAAGGGCCCCTTGCCCTGGTATGCGATTTCTACTGAAGGACATCTGCTCCCCTTGATGCGATTTATAATCCCCATCCACCCCCACCCCTCTGAGAGATTTTTTATCAAGGGGCTCCCCCTTGTATTTTGTATGATTTCTGTGATTACTGTATATTTTCTGTGATTTCTACACTGACAAAAAAACTGACAAAACAAGCACAGACAATTTGAACCAAGTCATGTGACCCCCATACTCCAAACAACCTCAACTCCCAAGGTTGTACATGTTGGTTTTAGGTCAAACTGACAAAACAAGCACAGAAAATTTGAACCAAGTCATGTGACCCCCATACTCCAAACAACCTCAACTATGATAACGATGACAGTATTGGATGAAAAATTCTTCCTTGTGCCTCCTACAAGAGACTAAAGAATATGTATCCTGTGGTGCACGTTGCCTGTTTAAGGGTTGCCAATCTCTTAAAAAACAGCTGACAACGGGTTGTTTGTAGAGAACCTGTTTAGCCTGTCTACAATAGAGTGGAAACATGGTCTACATAGATCTGTAGATTAGTATGAAACCGTTTTCTTAATCAGTACATTTTTGCATTGATAAGATTTACACACCACACCACCAGATAATAATAATGACCATCCATCCATTCATTCTTCCATACATATATGGACTCAGTTTCTATGTTTAGCACTGTATGAAGGAAAGCCACCGAATGAAAACTAAAGAAACAGAGTATAATATATTTAATAAATTTTTTTCTAATATTGTCCCACTTTTTTACTTGTACACGAGTTTCACAATTTGAGTTGAATTACTGAAATAAATGAACTTTTCCACGACATTCTAATTTATTGAGATGCTCCTGTACTTCTATGTTCACTTCATATCCTCTGGAAGCCACTTTGCACATGTTTGCTGGCAGAAGCTGATAGCACAGACAATGGACATAACCTTCATAGATGTTTACATAAAGACCCCCACATACAGTGCGGTGCCAACATGCAAATTAGTGAGACACTGTCTCATGGCTTATCATGATAGCATGGATTTACATTTTAACATCCACATGATATTGAATGTTGTTCCCTTTCTTATTAGCTTGATTTTGCATTCTACTATTTATTACCAGCTTGTGTGCTATGGTAGTACTTCCATGGTAGTCTTTCAAGTACCTTAAAATATCCTGTAATGATTCATAAATACAGTATCTCTCAGTAGTATATACCCATGTACTAAAGTATTAGTATTTTAAATCAGGATTGCTTTTATACATTTAGGTTGCTTGTTTATGTAAACAGCATTTACACCTGTATTTTGAGATGTACAATGTATTTTGAGATTCGCTCACATTAACCAAATTCAGCTGTCGTAACAGTTTTCAACCACGTTGGGTTTGTAGTGTAAATGCTTCTGCATTCAATTTCTGCATGTTTAAACAAAGCTGAAGGTCCATATGCTCAACTCACAAGAGTCTGATATCAACAGGGGTGATATCAACAGTGACACAGATAATCTAAAGTAAATTTTTTTTTTTTTACAAACATGTTCAATTTGCTGTGGTGTATTCAACAAAGTAGCTCAGTTTGTTTATGAAACTTGTCATTTCATTCTCTAGCATTTTTGCAGCTGTACTTTAGCAGTGTGCTTTATAGTCTTCCACTATGTAAGAGTGAGGAAGGTCTAAAGTGGTGGACAAGCAGCAGTCGATGAAAGACTATTATCTCAATGATGAAATGGTTTTTAGTATTAGGACATGCAGCAATAATAATTTCATAAAAGGTTTTCATAGACAAAACATGACATACTGAAAAACAAATCTAACATATCCATCAAATCCTGTTATTTAATGACATTTTATTTATTTACTTAAAGGACAGTCTAGTAAACTTCATTCAAAAGCAAAAAGCATTAAGTTTAGAATCAGTTGTCAGATACCAGCACTCTGGACAACATTATCTTTTATGGTTTGTAAGCTATAACAGCTTTTGATATTTTTCAGGCAATTCTACTAGACTCCTGTAGTACTCTTCCATAGAGGTCTCAGCCATCTCAAAGCCATCTCAGCCCCAAGGTTCTGTCACATCTGTCCAGGGTCTAAGCTCCCCTGTCATGCCGCCTCATTTCCAAAGGCCCTGTCTCTCACTCCATCTACTGGTGAGTCTACATAAATGCATTGAATTGAATAAATTTAATTTAATTTAATTTTAATTGTTTAGTTTAATTACTTTGAATCATTTAATTATATGTGTGCACACATACCAGACATAGGTCAAAACATTGACAAATTCGGCTGAATTATACAAGCCAGAAGTGGTACTAAATAACTACATTAAACGCTAGAATGAGACGGTAAGTGCGCGTGGTTATGTGACATATGTTACATATTATTAATATTAACAAGGTCATAGTCGGGTATATTCAATAAAAACACGAGTAACACAAAAAAATCTAGCTTGAATTGTTGTCTGTTACTTACGTCCCAACTGACGGGGTCGAAAGTAACAATGTGCAAGTTCAAAGTGAAATTATACTGACGTCGTTCTACATTTGTACAAAATACCACCTGGTATTGATAGACCGCACTTGTGAGTTATTGACCACACCAAAATTAAATCTCTGTCTAAAACATTATCTTTTAAAATTACGTTTTTCTGAAAACAGACGTAGGCTATAGTTCTCCATAAAAATGACTCGTAATTATTATATTTGTAGTAAAAAGATAGCCTACTTGTAGTTGCATAAGAGGGTTAAACTGTATTAAAATGATGCACATCACACTGTTGCACAATACACTTTTCTTTTGTTATGAAATCTTTTCAACTTTAGGGTAGAGTGGGGTAAAACACACCACCGACTGTTTTTCCCAAAATAACCACTAGATAAAGTCAAGATAAATGTAAAAAATATTTTTTAATTAAAATAATTTCTTAAATTTCATTTTGTGATTATTTTATTTGTGCACAGACGGGGTCTTCAAGTTAAATTGGCTGTATAAA